AACTGTTCAAATACTGTAATGCCTCACAGATGACTCGAGAACCTCTAGGCTCGGGCACACTATTTCCTTAACTCGGATACCCTTTTGGTAAATCTTGAATGTCGACACTATTTTCACGTTATCCGCATGTGCAATTGCAGGGCTCTCTTCAATATTTACCTTGAGTTAAAGATACATTTATATTCATGTGCATGTAATAAATGATCACATAAGAAAATCCAAAGATATGGACAAAGGCTAAAGGATACGGAGCGAAGTCAAGTAAGTATGCAGCGAGCCTATCCGACATACTCTCCTACTCGACATCCCATAGGCCGAACTACTCTCATTTCCTTGCTCTCTATCGATTGCTCACCGCCGTCTGGCCCACAGAGTGGACAGAGAAGATGGAGGCAAAGACGTTGAGATATGCAGCAGTTCCTACATTGCCCTTGTCATGAGAGAAGCTGAATACAGTGATTGCTAGCTTCTTTACGGTCTGCGCGTGGGTAAAAGAACTATTTTCTTTCTTTATTCTTTTCATTTTTTCTATTTTTTTAAAAAAATATATGAAATTTTTGAAATGCCCTCCTAAATCAGTTTTTTTAGTGAAAACCACCTTTTTATCCAGGTTTTAGGGTAATTTGACAAACCCGTATAGTTCAGGTGGTGGTTTGTTAAAGAAAAAGTTCATATGGTGATGCGCGAAAATCGTCATAGTTCGGATGGGAAAAAAAGTTTTCTTATTTTAAATAAAAGTATTCTTTGTATCGAGATTTTATTACCATAAAGTTAGACTTATGATAGTATATAACAAATTTGTGGATACACAAAATCTTATTTTATTTTTTTTAATGAAATTACAAACCTTGGACTTTAGTAAAGATTATTGTCATTATTATTATGAGTAGATTACACAAAACAATATTTCAAAGTTATTATCTATATCTACAACACACACACATAATATGTGTATGCTAAGTAAATCATATGTCCATTAGCTTATGTATACTAGATTAATTGAGCACAAGTGTGATTGAAGTTTCACAAGATTAAAGTATGTGACTAGACAACATGACTTAATTCAATAATGATAACTAGGCGAGCAAGTTTATTAAGTCACAATACGCATAACATGTGCAGGTTTGCATGCTTCAAATTGATGTATCTCTTCATTATGACAAAAAAGTCGGTTATTGTAAAATCAAATTATGTATCAGATGTTCCAGAGAGGAGACAGTAACGATTGTAAATCTTTCCCCGACAAGGGCCTGGACTGAAGTCATCGATAAAAACTTCCAACTGTCTGGCGCCTAAAGTAAAGGACGATTCTCCCAACGGCGGCATGGACCGGAGGCGGCCGCTCCCGGCCACGATCTATTAAGATAATTGACCAAAGTGAGAAGTAAAAATATGATGATAAGTTACTCAGAGGAAGGAAAAAGATGAGGGCTTTTTTCCTGAGTTGACGGTAGAAGAAGCAATCGGGAGGGAAAGAGTCCAAGCGATTAGCCCCAGACAGGCAGTATAAACAAAACATCGGGCGTCAATAACACATCAAACACAGACGTAATAAAATACACGTATAAACATGCTTGATGTATCATAATTTCAAATACGACTACTATGATATGTATATGTGCAAACAATAGATCGTCTTATACATGTGAGAAAACAAAACCAACGACAAATTAATATCGATTCTGTTACGATATGCACTTGTAGAAATAATAGACCGTCACACACATGTGTTTAAGTAATAAATAAATGAAATAAAAACATTAGAGAAATCGAAAACACAAACACACACATCGATGAATATCAATATAGTCAAATGCAACAACAAAACACCCCAACGCCCAAACACATCTGAAATAGTTACAATCAAATATAGTCAAATGCAACAACAAAACACCCTCAACGCCCAAACACATCTGAAATAGTTACAATCAAATAACAAGTGATCAACTAGCTCGTATGATGAGACTTAGAATTCATTTGGACCTAAAGTTTGAAAATTTGGAATTTTGTTAGAGGGAAAGTATGCCTATGCGTGTGTGTGTGAGAGAGAGAGAGGTTGTGAGATTTGAGCCAGTACATATTTTCTTGATTCTTTTTCACTTTAATCCAACAAAAATATATAAACCCCTCCCTAGTAGCGTTATTTTACAGAGTCAAGTCATTTCTTGGTTGTTTCACATTTATGTTCAACCTCTCTTCCCATTTTCCAAACCGCTCAACTTAGAAGAAAAAACACGCACAACACACACACACACACACACTAAAAAAAACACAAAAAAAAGGGGAAAACGCTCTTCCTCACTGTCAGTGCCCATCGTCTTCCTCCGCCATGGATTCTTCTACTGTGGTTGCTGAATCGTTCTTGCCCAAGCCCTACACTCCCATTCTCGTCCTGTAAAAGTGATAAATAAAAGAAAGCTTTCATCTGTAAAGCAGAAATCCGAAAGCAAAAGGGAAATGGTGTTCAAGGGCAGATTTTTTTCCTCCAAGAAGTCAGACACTTCGAGCCCCGATGGATCCTCCAACAGCCCTCGATCTCTCGGCTCCAACAACTCCAATTCGCCGATCCGATCCGACAAGAAAAAGCCCAAATCTCTGTCGCCGTCCGTTTCCAAGGACAGCTCCCCGGCCGCCGCCTCCGGGTCCCCCGCCGCCAGTACTCCGACGAGCGCCGCCCGGAGCATCCTGAAGAAGAAAGGCTCCTCCAAGGGCAAGGAGGCGCTCGGTCTGGCCAAACCCGCTTCCAAAATCTCCACCTCATCCTTATCCTCGTCCAAGTTGAAGAAATCAGACGAGTCAGCACCTCCGGCGGCGGCTCAGCCGTCGCCTCTGTCCATGTCGCCGATAGTGGCGTCGTCTTTAGGGCTGAACAAAATAAAGACGAGATCGGGGCCGCTGCCCCAGGAGAGTTTCTTCAATTTTGGTGGTCGAGAGAAAGGAGTAGGGTTAGGCGCCAGTAATCTGTCCAGGCCATTTGGGGCCATTGGCGGCGCTGATGGTAATTCGGGTGGTAAGAAGAAGAATCTTGAGAATGCGGATAATGGGAGCAATTCAGACAGCATGTCGACTGAAAGCGGGGCATCGAGGGATCAGAGCCCGCATGTGTTCCAGGCTCAAGAACGTTCGCGGCTGCAAAATGCTGAATCTTCATCTGGGCCTAATGGTATTGTTTCACTATGATCAATTTTTTTTTTTATTTATTTTCTAGACTATGTTGGTTTGCACTTCATTATATTGGTTGCAATTATGATTTATATCGGTTCATTAATTGGATTGTGTTTGTTTATGATTTGGTATGAGATCAGGGAAAGATAGTATTATGGGAATAATTTCTGTTGTGCTATGATTTGACTTAGTCACACTGTGAAATGAATTAAAATTTGCTATCATGGAGAATCCACGACGACGGGATCCTGCTATTATGTGTATATGTGGCAAGCTGCCTTTGTAAACTGAACTTGTACGTTCTTTAGTGCTAATTTTAGGAACAATGCTCATAGTATTGTTAAAAGTTACATGCCACATCTTTATCTTTTGCTAACTTCCTTTGCTATTGCTTTGATGCAACTAACTTATGTAGAAGGGTGTTCTCTGGTATCTTTGTATTTCCACATCTAGTTAACATTTCTGCGACTTGTTTTAGTTTGTGAAAAAATGATTACTGCGTTAATGCATGATTATAATCAGTGAGTCAGTTTGTTTGTTTGTTTTCTTTTGCCGGGGGTTGATTGGAGGAGTCAATTAAGAATTTAATTGGAAATAACGGAAAGTAATATTACGAAAAAGTATGTTTATTATTCCTTGGAGGGGTGTCTGTGAATCTACTATTTGCCTCTTCGTAGAAATTTAGCCTGCATATAATGGAAGATCTGCTGCATGTTATTGCACCTTTGACTTAAATAAAATTATCCAATAGTTGGGAGAAATGATAACTATCTGAATAACCACTTTTTATTTTATTTTATTTTTCCATGGTAGGGTGTGTGAAATATTAGTAGTCCTTTTTTCTGATTTTCACCCATGTCCACGGGGATGGCTGTACATAATTTCCCTTATTTTTCTATATGTATTACATATATTCTCTGAGGAGAAAACTAGAAACCAAATATGGAGAATCTTTCTTTTATAAATATAAATATTTTATTATATGAGCCATAGATTACAATAGTATGACCCCTTTTACCAACCCAGAGATAACTTTTCTGAACCAATTGATTAAGTCTAAATTTTGCCTTCTAGTATTTTTCTTCTTTTTTCTTCTCTACTTGTTGTAAAATTTATTCGCCCACACTATCATCATTTTAGTTGCCAAACAAGCTTAAGATTTTGCTTCCTATCATGATTACCTTTTCGTTCAATTTTCGCCTCACACTTATGTGCTAGCTCAAGTTTATTTTGGGAGTAATAATGATGTTTATAAGTAAAAGGTTTAATTCGCGGCCTTCCATGTGACATTATTATGTGCAACTTGGGGCATATGCCATATGAGGGGTATATATATAATAAAAAGTAAAGAATGCTTTTAATTTAAAGCCTTATGTAATGAAGTTTTGCGTTCACAAATTTAACTTTGCTAACTCAGGGCAATTTGATTCATCATGGGGTGATTCTGTTGTTCCCAGTAATTCTGATGCATGTACTCCAGAGATGAAGGTAAAAAGGTGCATCTTCTTTGATGCTACAACGCATACAATGTCTAATTATTTCCTGATAAAATTAAATAGGAGTGGCATTTATAAACTAACTGACTTCTAAATCTGTTTGTAGACATCGTATGACTGTGAGAATCCAAAAGAGTCAGAATCTCCGCGCTTTCAAGCCATACTCCGTGTGACAAGTGCCCCTCGGAAAAGGTTTCCTGGTGATATTAAAAGTTTCTCTCATGAATTGAACTCAAAAGGTGTCCGACCTTACCCTTTTTGGAAACCTAGAAGGTTGAATAACGTTGAGGTAACTAAACAAGATTATGCATGCAGTTGTCAACTTTTGATTTCAGTAACTTTGCATATCCCTGGTGTTTGTAGTAATAAAAAGAAAAAATAAAAAAAAAAAGAAAAGAAAAGAAAAGAAAATTACTAGCTAGTTTCTTAATATAATTACTGTGTCACGTCAAGTATGATAGCTTTTCCTTTTACTGCTTGATATTCATGATTATCCTAAAACTGTAACAGGAGATATTAACTATGATCCGGACAAAATTTGACAAAGCAAAGGAGGAAGTAGATTCCGACCTGCATATCTTTGCAGCAGATCTAGTTGGAATCCTAGAAAAGAATGCAGATAATACTCCAGACTGGCAGGAGAAAATAGAGGACTTGCTCATCCTAGCTAGGAGCTGTGCTATGAGTACCCCAGGAGAATTTTGGCTCCAATGTGAAGGCATAGTGCAAGAGCTGGACGATAGGCGTCAAGAGCTTCCAATGGGCATGTTAAAGCAGCTCCACACGCGAATGCTTTTTATACTCACCAGATGCACTCGACTGTTACAGTTTCACAAGGAAAGTGGGTTGGCTGAGGACGAGCATGTTTTTCATCTTCGACAGTCACTTCAGCCTCCATCAAAGCAAGCCCCTTCAGGACCAGGAAAAGAAGGGAAGACGGCAGTAGACACGAAATCTGTGCTGGTGCCCTGTACAAGGAAGTCATACAGTCAAGAGCAATCGGATTGGAAAAATGACCGAATGGGAACCGGAAGTTCTCTTGTTTCACCTTTTGAAACCACGAAAAGCTCAGAATCGAAATCGGGTCGGAATCGGATGGCATCTTGGAAGAAGTTTCCTACTCCCTCTGGAAAGAGCCCAAAAGAAGCTGTTGTCAAAGTTAAGGAAGAGCAAGGTGACAGTATCACATTAGCCTCACGAATGTTAGAAAATCAAAGAGAGAACAGTGATGGTTATCTGGCTAATGCAAAGGCACCCGAGCTTCCTCCCTCTAAAGACACGCATGGGCCAGCTGTGATGCCAAAACACCAGCACAAAGTTTCGTGGGGCTATTGGGGTGATCAGCCTAGTGTAACCGATGAGAGCTCAATAATATGCCGCATTTGTGAAGAGGAGGTCCCGACTTTACATGTCGAGGACCATTCTAGGGTATGTGCTATTGCCGACAGGTGTGATCAGCAGGGTCTTAGGGTGAACGAGCGCCTCATGAGGATTGCCGACACTCTTGAAAAGCTGATGGAATCGTATTCAACCAAGGACATGCAACATGTTGCCGGGAGTCCAGATGGCGCTAAAGTATCAAACTCGAGCGTGACTGAGGAGTCGGAACTCGTTTCTCCCAAATTTAGCGATTGGTCCCGAAGAGGGTCTGAGGACATGCTGGACTGTTTGCCGGAGGCAGATAACAATATTGCCATGGATGATATGAAAGTTTTGCCGTCCATGTCGTGCAGAACTAGGTTTGGCCCAAAGTCTGATCATGGGATGACCACATCATCGGCAGGCAGCATGACTCCAAGGTCACCATTGATGACGCCAAAGATGAGCCCGATTGACTTGTTTCTGTCTGGAAAAGGCTCTTTGGCTGAACATGGGGATCTTCCTCAGGTATATCCAAGCTGATTTAATCCTGTTAACGTACACGCACACACGCACACACACACATATGTTATCCTGAGTGCGGCCCGTGACTTCAGTGTGATGTATAATTATTGCGGGAAGCTTTCTTTATCTGGGACACTTTTGGTCCTACAGCAGAAATAGCTCCTCAGCGTACACAAACATTAAGTTTGGTGCTTAGGAAGTCTGATACAAATGTCAAGTAACACAAAAGTTACATTGCATGATATCTGAATATTTCCAATGTCCTGTCAGTTGAAGCACGTGGTCCCATCTGAATGGTTTAGACTAAGACTATTGGGGTCTCATCCCAGTCGCTCCCCTGATGCAATCTCAAGTAATACCAAATTTAATACAAAAAATACTCAATGCATTAGATTGTAATTTATTTCACTAAATTATAATAATTGGCTCCTGATTACAGAATTCCAATTTTGTAAGAATTAACCTAGACATTTTTAACTCCAAAGAATTAATCCCTAGGCGTCCTAGGTGCTGGGCTATGACCTAGCTATTTCTGCAACCTTGCTGAATGTAATGTAATATTTCCCTTTTGGAAGTTAATTTGCAGATTGATTCTGTAATACATTAGAAGTACAATGAATTCCTCACAAAGATCTGATGATAGAAGTGGTTGAACAGGAAAAAAATTGAAGGAAAATAAACACTTCCCTCTTTCATGTTTATGGTTTGATAATCTATATTATTCCCTTTTCCGGTCTACTCTTGTCATTTAGGCGAACACTCGCATTCTTGACAAAATCAACCCCCGCCCCCCTCCATTTCATTGCGCATCATAATAGATTATTGTGTTTATATTTTATGAAACCGAGTCCACCAAAATAATGTAGTGTATACATGACTTCACGGTGTGGTTGATTTGTTTTTTACTGATTCTGACCCAAAACGATATTAAATTTAAATCATCACTGCAGCTGTACGGAACCCATTTAATTAAAATTATGTGGATGATAAATCAGTTTTAACTTTCATCACAATCAATGTTATAAGAAGTGATTTATTCTCTTTAGTAATATAATTCAGTGCTCAGTATTTATGGATTCTTCATTAAATGGGGAATCCATAGTATTTGAACTAATAGCTGTTGACCTGCCGCTGATGTCATATGGGTTTTAAATAATTCCTTTTTTATCATGTCCATATGCAGATGAATGAACTTGCTGATATCGCTAGATGTGTAGCAAATACACCTCTGGATGATGATCGGTCTCTGCAGTATCTTCTATCTTGCCTTGAAGATTTGAAAGTTGTCGTAGATCGACGAAAGTTCGACTCGCTGACAGTAGAAACATTCGGAGCTCGTATAGAGAAACTGATCAGGTGTTGTCATGTTTTTGCCTTTAAAGGTTATAGTAAATTGATATTTGGATCTTACATCTTAACAATTTGTTCAAATACCCAGGGAAAAGTATTTACAACTGTGTGAAATGGTAGATGATGACAAGGTTGATATAACCAGCACTGTAATTGATGAAGATGCCCCTTTGGAAGATGATGTTCTACGCAGCCTAAGGAGTAGCCCTGTTCACTCTTCCAAAGACCGTACATCAATAGATGACTTTGAAATTATAAAACCAATTAGCCGTGGGGCATTTGGTCGGGTGTTCTTGGCGAAAAAGAGGACAACTGGAGATTTGTTTGCAATAAAGGTACACGAAGAATGTGTCCATGTACTATCTGAGTATCTGAGTAGTCAAAATAGGAAAAAACATTGGCTGAGTTGATCAATAGTAATTGACAACACAAGAAAATGAAGAATGTTTTGCTTAAATGTCATTCTGTTCAAACCTGCACTTCAAGTAGAATTCGGTTTGACTTCTCAATGTTGCGTAAAGCTTTCAGTTTTGAATGGAAATATCAGCAGTTTTCTAAAATGGTCATTTGAAAGGAAAATGTATTGTAGTCTTTCATGTATGCTTAAGACACCTTGATGTGCCAAATCTATGTACTCTCAGGTTCTTAAGAAAGCGGATATGATACGTAAGAATGCTGTAGAGAGTATTTTGGCCGAACGTGATATCCTGATATCTGTTCGCAATCCTTTTGTGGTGAGCTTCTTTTGGTGACAGTGATTTTGCTCATATCTTCTTGACTTCAATTTCTTGTAATATATCTACACTGATGTCTTAGGTACGCTTCTTTTACTCATTCACCTGTCGCGAAAATTTATATCTTGTGATGGAGTACTTGAACGGAGGAGATCTTTATTCATTATTGAGAAATCTAGGGTGCTTAGATGAGGAGGTTGCTCGTGTATATATTGCCGAAGTTGTGAGTTTCTTTTGATGGCTTTCTCCAGCTCTCCCCCTGCCCCCTCTAATCTTTCAAGTTAGTTGTTTACTGAAACAACTGCATTTTTCTGGCTAGGTGCTTGCTTTGGAGTATTTGCATTCTCTTCGCGTGGTTCATCGTGATCTGAAGCCTGATAATTTGTTGATTGCACATGATGGACATATCAAGGTTATTCCTTTCATTTTCTCTTAAGCCTTTAATCATGGTCATTTGTGTTGTGCCTTTCTACATGATTTTGCTTTTCTGGGTAGTTCCATTGCTTTATGCATGTATTTGCTGGTTCGTTCTTGAAATGACATAACTCAAAAACAGAAAATAAAGAGATTGGAGAATAGACTGGTATTCAAATTTATATGCCTAGATTATGCCATGAGATTTGGGGGTATAAGTGTTTTAAGACTTATGCCATTTTGCTACTTCTGTTTTTTGTGAAGTTCTTCAGCGTCTAGTATTACTTGCTATGGTGTTTTGCTTGGCACATTATTTGAGTATGAAGCTTCCCAATTTGTGGTGTTTCTAAGGCCATCTCCAACCGAAAAACTCATTCTCAGACCCATTTTGCAGTAACTATCACATTTTGCAGTAATTCATCGCCAACCGAAAAACTCATTCTCAAACCCAAAAGAATATTCTCTTTTACATCAACTTCTACAACTTTTCAATACTACCCACATATTTTACAACTTTACAAATTAAACTACACTATTATTTTAAATTAAATTTGGACTTTATGTAATAAAATTAATTATAAAGTTATAATCATATACATAATAAATCGGATAAATAAATAATCATTAAAAATTACAACACACAAGATAAAATTAAAAATTACAACACACATGCTATGTTAAATTATAAATTAATAATTTGTGCACATATATTAAATTGTAGTTTTCCTATCTTAAAGTTTGAAAATATTTTAAACAGTGTAATTGTTTTTTTTATTATAACTTAGTTCAAAGTTTTGATATGCATGCTATAAAAGTATTTTACAAATAATTTAGAATGTCATGAAATTATTTACAAATACTTTTTAGTTGCGGGATCTAATATACACACTACATACGTAATTCTTATATTTTATGGTTTAGTGTAGAATGTTATGAAATTATTAACAAATTTTTTTTAGTTGTGGATCTAATATGCACACTACATATATACTTGTTATATTTGATATTTTAGTGTACTTTTAAAAGCAAAATAATTTAAAATAAAATTATCTTATCTAATAACTCAAATTACTTAATTGTCATAATTAGAGAAAATACTTCTTATCATAATATAAATTACATTACGCTCAAGATGGGAAAAATTATGTATTTTTTTAGTTTAATAGATCGTATATAATTTTGGTGAAAAAAATGAGGTAATGACTCATATACAATTTAAATAGAAAAATGGAGTTGAATGCAATTTAAAAACTACAAACACAATTTTTTTTTTTGCGTAAACGCAAACATGCGTATGAATAGGAGAGAGAAATAATATCCTGCATTTTGAGTCGGTGTTTGCCGTTCGTTTGGAGCTCTTTTACCCCAATTTTTGCGATTTGGGTGCCGGTTGGAGACGGTCTAACTTTTTACTAGAATTTGATTGGATCTTTCCTCAATATATAAACCTGGTTTTTGAACATTTTGGCAAATCTTCTTTTCTTTCTCCTCATGATCACGTTCTTATGGGTGTGAATAGCGCACTACTAAGCCAAAGCTGCACTATGTGTACGGTGTACCTTTTGTTGGGTAGCACAAAGTGAAAATAAGTTATTAATTATTATTTATCAAATTTTTTCACTTGTGCTATACCCACTACAAAAATTGAGTATGACATCCATTAGCATCACACTTCGCTTTTATTTTCAATTTTGTGTTTGCCAATTATATCTTCTACACAATAAACTTATAGGAAATAACACTTTTGTGTCTTACGTTAATCATACGTCCTAATAAGGTTCATGGATTACCTTGACCTGTATACTAATGCCATTGAATTTAGATTCTTTTTTCTTTACATTTTTTAATGCTGTGAAGTCTGCATATCATTGGCGTGCAGGAAGAAGTGCAAGTTTTTTTAGTCTACCATCTAAAAACACGTTTTGTGCATGTAAATTGATTCCCCCTGGTGTTGATATTCGGAGAGCCAAAATTATTTGTTTTTAAAACTTGAAACAAAAACAAGTTTTTCCTTTTTCATTTTTTCTCGAACTTCATGATGCTTGCATTCTGAAGGAGCCAAAATTGATTGTTACTTCCAATTTGAACAGTTGACAGACTTTGGGCTATCAAAAGTGGGTCTTATCAACAGCACTGATGATTTGTCGGGTCCGGCTGTTAGCGGAACATCGTTAATGGAAGAAGACGAACCGCCATTATCTGCATCAGAGCATCAGAAAGAAAGGCGTAAGAAACGTTCAGCTGTGGGCACACCAGACTACTTGGCACCAGAGATTCTTCTAGGAACTGGGCATGGTTGGTTGATCTCCTGTCCAGTTAGCTTTATAGTTTAATTAAACTAGAGAAATTGTCCTTCCATTTCGATTGGATTAAGTTTTTCTTCCATATCTATAGAAGCAGGAGGAGTGATGCATTAAATTTGCTTATATCCCTATCTTTTGCAGGATTTACTGCTGATTGGTGGTCGGTGGGTGTTATTCTATTTGAATTGATTGTCGGCATCCCACCATTCAATGCCGAGCATCCTCAGGTTATAAGACTGTTGTAACATCTTTTTGTTAATAAGTAGTTACTTTCCTATAGTGTCCATACTTTTCATGTGCACACTTAAATGTGGAGTGCATTCTAAGAGATTTCTCCTTTATATATGTTCTTTCATATAAAAATAGTTTCTGATAGTGCTTTGTGATATTGTTTGGTGTCCCGGAGATTTTCAATTGTTTCTAGTTTCATTTCATTTTGATAGCAGGGATTCTGTATTCAAAGACTAATCGAATGGAAATCAAATGGCTGTAGTTATATAATTTCTACGACAAAGTTTTAGTTCTTGGAAAGATCTTCAGAAATTTTCACCTTAATAAAATTATGAATTGAAAATGATTATGAAGAAAATTCCCATAGTTCAAGATTGAAACTTATGGATAAAGATGTTTTGCTTGGCTCTATTTGAAGTGGTCTTATGCAATGCTCTATATGCAATTCTTGGTACTTTCATTGACGTTGACGTTTCTTTCCTTTTCATTTTTATTTGTAGAAAATATTTGAGAACATTCTCAATCGGAAGATTCCCTGGCCTCGAGTTCCTGAAGAAATGAGCCCTGAAGCATATGATTTAATTGATCGGTAAAACTCCCATCCATTTCTTTCACCTACTTTCCAATGCTTGGATGATATGTTTTATCACTGCCTAAAAGATTTATACTCATGCATTTTGTGTCAAAATTCAGTTCTTTGATCTGTCATATTTGTAATTTGATACATTGGGTTATCATACAATTTTCTTGGATAGGAGTGTCCGAGACAATTTTTATTAGTGATCTATTTCTGACACGAATCATATGAACTGTCCTCGCTTAATGTTTCTGAATAATTCTTTTTACCTCATTAAGTGTCAGTTGAATGGTACAATTTTGTTTAATAGCTTTCTGCTTCATGCTGCCTTGAATTCAATTTAATTTTGGGAAAAATGCAAAGACTACCCCTGATGCCTGGCCTAACTACAAAAGATATCCTTTAATCTTCAAAATTATAAGAAAAACTCATTAAGGTATTACAAGTCCCTTCTAGCTTTGTAAAACAGAAGCATCTTGAATGTGGATCATTTAGTTGACGTGAACAGCTTGTCTCGCACTTAACACTTGAATATAAATCATATTGTCTTTGTTTTACAGCTTATGATTAGAAATTGTGTGTAAATATTAAAACCTTCTCAACTGTTCTCATTACTACAGCTGTTTTGCCTTTTACATTGTGCTGAATCTTTACTTTACAACATATATAAGAATAGGGAATGCCTTTGTTCATAATTCTTAGATTGGTCCACTGATTGGTTCTGATATCCACTGACAGGCTACTAACTGAAGATCCTAACCAGCGGCTCGGAGCTGTGGGTGCTTCTGAGGTAATTTGTATTTGTCTTAGGATAGTTATACTTGTCCTAGACTTTTAGCGTAACTACTAACTACCAAGAAAAAAAACATGAGATATATTTTCTGCTGCTTCCTTGTTTTTGTTTCATAAATTTCATCTTTCTGACAAACGGTGGTTTGTAAAGTATGTAAAGGTCGCAATTTAATTTAAAATTGTAAAAGATACTTGATTTTCTTTTAATTTTATATATATATTTACCTGCAGGTCAAGCAGCACCCATTTTTTCGAGATATTAACTGGGATACTCTTGCTAGGCAGAAGGTTTGACCGAACACTTAAATTTGCACAACACAGAATCTAGTGGATGAATATGTAATAATGTTGCCCCATTCTTATTTATTTTTGTTTTCTAGGCTGCTTTTGTCCCTGCATCAGAGAGTGCAATGGACACTAGTTATTTCACAAGTCGTTTCTCATGGAATCCCTCAGACGAGCATGTTTATGCTGGCAGTGAATTCGAAGATTCCAGTGAAAATGGCAGCTTAAGTGGTAGCAGCAGTTGCAGCAACAAGCAAGATGAAGTGGTTTGTGTTTCAGCTGTTTAATTAAATATAGCATTTTTTTTAATCGCGATTATATCGTAAATATTTGAATCTCAGATTATCTAAAGAGGTCCTCTGAGTAGTCACCTCTAAAGTTTGATCGAACATTTTCCAAAACACAGGATATGTAGTACGTGTATGAGTGGAATTGTGTAGTATTATTAGAAATGGTCTATTATGGCCAGTGATTGATAAAGATGTCAAATTAGGAATTTGGTGCAACACATTGCCATTTATGAATTGAAGTCCAGAGTGCGATTTGATATGTCAATTTTTGTGGCAAATCATCAAAACTGCTGAATTTCTGGCACTCTGTCTGCACCTTATTAGTCTTAGGTAGCAAACCTGGTCAAATCACGTATTTGTAGTTTAAATTCGATTATCGTTCAAAATATTGTAACCTATTAGATGAAAAGCCACGTTACCCAACCAAAATAACTTCTTACCTGTTTTGTTAATACAACCTTTGATTTCATAATTGGAATCTTATATTCACTTGTAAAGCAGGGAGATGAATGTGCGGGGCTCGCGGAATTTGACACGAGCTCTGATATCAATGACTCCTTTAGTAATTTCTCTTTTAAGGTAAGTACATTAGACGGTTGTATTTACAGTTATTAAGATTGCATTTATTATCTAACATATATTTCCAGTCAAATGGTTGTCCTCGCATAAATTTTACGTGTGAAAAGTCTGTCTTTTTAACGAGCATTCATACCTTTAAAGTCGAAAGTCATACTTTCCAAACAACCATTTGTATTGTTGAAAGTACGATTTTTTTTTCTTAAAAACTATGACTTGCACGCACAATGAGACTGCCGTATCGTAGTTTTTGTGAATTACACCATACTTGCTTTCATGCTGCAAATTATCACCTTATATTATATACTGCCTTTAGGTTTTGGTTTCTTATATTTTTCTTGGCAATCCAGAATCTTTCCCAGCTCGCCTCTATCAACTACGACCTGCTCACGAAGGGCTGGAAAGACGATCCACCTTCAAATTCAAATACATAAACCTCTCTTTAGTATAATATATACATTTAACTTTGGGGGAAATTTGCCTCCCAGTTTATATTCCTTGTAAATGTTTTTTTTTTTTTGGCATTTATTTTTTCATT